TGGCCAAAACCACCCTTCCCGAGCAAGTTACTCTCACTAAAGCCGTCTGTTGCTATTATCAGATCTTCAAGTTTTGAGACTTTTAAGTCTTCAATCATTACTTGGGTTTTGTCTTTGAATAGATATGAATCTGTTGCTTTCCCAGCTTTTTTCTCTGGTATTGATTTAGATTTTCTATTTCTATCCGATGTGTGTTTACCCTTTTTCCGAGCTCTCCATTTGAACAGGAAGTATATGATAGTGGCAATCACTGCTGTTCCTAAAGTCATATCTCTTACTAGTACCTTCAAAGCAGAAGAAATTATTTTACATATGCATACTAACATGATCTTTTTTACTAGGTGGGAAGATGAGAATTCAGAAGCCTATAATATCTCCTAAAGTGTCTAGCATTCAAAATTTCAAAGAGGTATGATTAACTTACTTAGCTCTGATTGTTCAAGCCGAATGAATAGGTCCACCCTCCAGGTGAAAGGTCCTCTATGTCAATCAAGTTCTCGCTCCATCTCATACATCCAGTTCCAGTATCATGTGTATAAGCCAAACAAGAGCAGTTTGCCAGGCAGGTTGTTCTGCACTGATCAGGATTCAGACCCACAAACCATTCAACAATATCAGCATTAACTGGCACTTTCATCATCTTTAACCTCAAAAACCCATCTTGTTTTCCCCCTTGAACCCCACATTGCAGCTTCTTTCTTCTCACACACCCACTTGTCCAGTTTCCTCTCCTCCATTCCTCCGCGTTCTTTGGCACAAACCCTTTTAAGCAGCTGCACATAGGTTTAGTCTGCGGGTTGCAGTTTCCAAATTCTCCACACATACCATAGGTGTCACATATATTTTCCGGGGCATGCCACGCAATTCCCCTGTTCTTCTTGCTATCATCCCACCACTTTCAGCTAATATCCCTTGATCAATTATTACATAACGAGGCAACAAAGTCTCATTCGCACCTGTAAAAACCAGAGAAAGCATCCCTCTTACTTCCTCCTGTGCGAATGACCCGGTGTTAATGAGTATATTACCATAACCAGTATTATAATATCTTGTTCCCATGAAAATGTTTCCATTCCAAGGTCCACTTCGCCAATAAGGGCGATCCCCATCCCATATGATAATCTGAAAAAACCTAGAGTTAGTACCAACTGAGTACCTTCCAACTGATGGATCTGAAGGACTTTTCCAGGCCTGCACGACTTTCCTGAATTCAGGATTATTGTTAAGAATGAACTTCATATTTGGTAAGACTGAGTCTGCAGGATACTGAAAACTCTGCCATATGATCGTCCCATTGCCACGACTCGTGTTGTTCGGAAATCCTTGGATAAAAATGTTCCCGGAATCTTGAAGTTGAGCTGCTACGAAACCAGCTGTAGGATGAGTGACATTGGATGACCAAACAGTCTGATATTTTTGCATCAGAGACTTGCAGATTTTCGTCGAGTGATATCTTAAGTACAATAGAAGTATCAGTGAGGGGATTGTTCCTGTTAGCTACCCATACAAGATACAACTTCCATTTCAAAAGGGTGATTATATAAGATTCCAACATAACGATTGGAAGAGTTTTGAGGGCTGAAAAATCCTAGCTTGAAAATGCTATTTTTAGAAAGTATTGATTCTGAGTCTTTTAGGAATTGTGTTGGTGTAATACTGTCAATTGCAGAGCAAATTTTAGAACTGAAAAGAAGAATGTATGGAATTAATGCAAAAATAGGTATCATTCTTTGCTTAATTGATTATATCATGTAATATTTGGCAATTTAGAGATAATTTCAGGGCTCTGAAGGTAAGCTGTGTGTGTGTGTGTTTTTCTCTCTCTGTCTTTTTTTTTTTTTTTTTTTTTTTTTGCTCAGAATTTCAGAGGTCTTTGGTGTTAGGCCTGTTAGCTCTTTGAGTGAAACACGTGAACTTATGAGTGCGTTAAACGGTTAAGTCTTGGCTCATAGCGCCTATTGATTTCTAAGCATATAGGATGACAATTTTGCAATTAAAAAGTAGTATTCAGATAACTTATATTTTAGTGGTACATTATTCATGCATAATGGTACATTATATGTACCCTTAGAGAGTCAGCTTTTTCAAGAAATTGAAAGTTATAGGATGGTAAAAAGTACCACTACACTCGTAATAGTCCACAAAACGTACTATTCAGACAAATTTTACTTTAATGGTACATTATACATGCATAATGGTGCATTATAATGTACCACTAGAGAGTCAACTTATTCTAGAAGCAAAAATTGAATCAGCGGAAATTACTTCCTTACCCTCCTATTTACATAACTCGGCCATAAATGCTATGCGCCCAGACTCACTCGCTTTAAAACTAGTGGATGTTCTGGACTTCTAGTGTATTGGTGCTGTATTGACGACTATGACGAGTAGATTAAAATATTTCGAGTTTGACTAGCCGTATTGTTATATGAGATGCGTTATATAAAAAAATCTTGATAGATATAAACTTTAATAATTTTTACTAATCTGAAATCAAATATATAAATGATCAAAGTATTTGTATTGTTACATAGCAAGATAAATTAATATGCAAGATCATTCATGAGTTCATATGGAACGACATTAGTTGGTACTTGGGACACAACTTTCTCAAATTTTCTCTACACCAAAAGAAAGAAAACAAGCTCACACATGCAATTGGCACATGTTGCTACTTTTCATAAGGGAACAAGGTGAAACATTTAAGGGTTGAGAATGTAAAATAATCAATGCCAAGGCCAAACAATTCAGTTCAGTTAAGTTAATTTCAATTTATAAATTAATTCAGTTTCAACTAACTTAAGTGGTAATTAATTTTTTTCCCATTGAATTTTCAGTTATGAACCATTCGGGGTTTGGTTAGTTTCAGTTCAAACAATACTCTTCAGTTTAGGTCAGGGTTGGTTAACAGTTGAACCATTGATACAATTATACAACAATACTGACTTGAATTACGTGCCCAACATAAGGCCCAGTTAGAAAATATATTGGGCCGTGATAAAATGTAGCAATTGGGCTAGGCCCAAAAAAGTTATACTCAGTATCATCTTCCTTAGTTTTTCTGTCTCTAATTTCTGCTACTGAAGAAGCGAAGAAGGCAAGCATGGCTAATGAAGTCATGAGGTTTCAGGTATTCACCTATTCTCAGCTTCATTTTTTTTTATTTGTATATTTTGTTTATATGATGTATTAAACAAATTAATTCTATGATTTATCTAATTTCTAAATATTTTTTCAACTGTTATGATTTTTTTTGAAGGGATGTTTTGATGAGATTTTTGATAATTATAAACATGAATTGATGTGATAAACATCCATTATCTTTATTTACCTCGTTTTTGTCATTAAATTATGCTTCTTGTTGTTGTTGTTAATTTGATGAATTATTATTATTATTATTATTATTATTATTATTATTATTATTATTATTATTATTATTATTATTATTATTATTATTTATTTTTTATTTTATTTATTTTTATTTTTTTACGAGTATTTATTTTTTGAAGGATAATAGGGTTATTGTATTGAGCAAGGATGTAACTATTGTCAGGATAAAATGATGAGATACAAGCTTTTTTTTAAAAAAAAATTGCTATCAAGTATTTAATAAAATTAACAAGTCTAATTGCATATTTGCAATGAAAAAAAGACTTCTTATAATCTTGTTAATTGTTGAATTTTTAGTAGTAGTTTTAATTGTAATAATGAATCTAGAAGGGAATTTTAATTACAGGCCTTCAAAATGTCGAGTTTCTGGGTTTTGGTCATCACCTTGCAAGTGGCAGTTTTCATGTAACAGTTGCCGAGATGTTTTTGATTCAAGAAGGGAATTTTGTTCAATTCATACAGGGCTACATAGCTTTCTTAACGCTAATTCTTGCTGATATAGGAGAGTTCCTGAAGAAAGATGGCAACTTTAGGTTCAGCTAATCATGCTTAAGCATGGAGGAGGAAGAAAAGATCCATACTGGGGCTACGCATTGTGCCATGGATGCATTTGAGGAAGGCCTTAGGGAGAGCATATCAGATACTGGTGGACTTGTTTTACAGTAGGAGGCGTTGTTGTTCTTGCTTTTGGACGAATAAGACTAATTCAAGTGCTTTGTCATGTTGAAATTTGTAGCTTTTGTTGTTGATCTGCTTTTTTTTTTTTTTTTTTATGCTTGTGGATTTGGTTTTAATTAATTTATAAATCTTCGTTTTCCGATAAAAAAAATTGACTGCAGCTATGAGGCAAGATGTCAATTTTGAGGAATCTGTTCAAGCCTTCAAGGGATGTATCTCGTGACACGTGACATTTTTATATTTTATTAAAAAAAACATCTTCAGCAGGTAACTGGTTTTCAAGGTTGATAGAAGAAAACGAAGGTGAAAGTTGGGATTATTGCAAAATAATCGATAGTTGAGATTATTCAAAGTAAATTGGTCAAACTTGGGATTAATAAAGTATATTTTTCCTAATTTAAAAGGATATTTTAAGGGATTTTTTTTTTATTTTTTTATTTTTTTTTTTTGCAAATTTTTTACAATTGAGATTATTCAAAGTAAATTGGTCAATACTTTTGTTACTAAATGATGCATCATGTATCCCATAATAATTTGGTTTATCTTTTCAATCAAATCTTTTTAAATATCTATTAAAATATCTAACGTTTAGTTTAGGAAATACATCTTCTCTCATTGGTTAATGGTTATCATAACAAAAAAATAAAAAAAAAAATATTATTTTTTAATTTTTGGCGACCATATAATGTCTTGAAGACCAAGTATTAGTGTATTACACATCCTTGGGAATCAAGGTTGTTTAAATTAACCTTGGAGACCAAGGATCTTGTAAGAAGTAAATATCCCTAATACAACCGCAATAACTATCCTAATCCTAATCCTAATCCTAATTGGAATTGTAAAAGGTATGATTGATCTTTGTTTATCTCCCTATATAAGCAATTAAGCACCAACAATTCGTAGTGTAGTTGTTAAATTAAAGCATACTGAGGATGGAGAAGAAAGCGAAGACCGATTGTTGCTACCTTCCGTTTGAACTAATCACTGAGATACTCTCATGGCTACCCGCTAAGTCTCTGCTGCGATCTGCATGTGTCTCTTCATCGTGGTATATGCTTACCAAAGATCCAAAGTTCATGAAGTTGCATCGCAGTCGATCCCTCAAAGCAAACCTGGAAACGCATTTCCTCTTCGAGTGCTGGAAATCCAAAGTCTACTCTTTTAGAGCTACATCGCAGCATCCCTATTACCATGCTTCGGAACTTGCTTATCCGAAAGACATCATAAAGCCTCGCACCATGGGAGGTGTTTTAGGCTCATGCAATGGCCTAGTTTGTTTTCATTCAATAACATTACAACCCTTTTACAAATCTGCTTACAACAATAATCTAGGCCTGTTTCTCTACAACCCTGCGACTCGAGCCACTAGATTGATACCACCACTCAATTCCCCGATGAATAATTTATTGAAACGTGAAGTTGCATTCGGTTATGACAGTGTATCCGATGATTATAAGGTTTTAGCCATTTGTATGGAGAGGAATGATCGAAATGTCGAAAAAGCTCTACTATACAGTTTGAAAACGGATGCCTGGGTGAACATACCGAGCCCGCCATGGCAGTTGAATCAATTTTGTATGAGCCCCCGACCTGCTATCTTGGCTGACAACTCCTTCCATTGGATGAATCCTTTGTTGTTTACAGGAATAAGGTGTTTCGATCTTTTCACTCAAAGGTATTACCAGATACCCCATCCGGTAAAGAGAGAGATAAAACTATACCAACTGTGAAGATGACTCAGAATTGACCATTTTAGAAGGACAGTTGTGTATCGTAACATATACTTTGGAGATATGGGTATTAACAAGAAGAAGATATCTTGGACTCGAATTTTTCATCATCTCTCGGGGCAATTGAAACATGTTGATTTTCATCATGCTAAAATATATAATTTGGGTTTCCGAGATGAACGACGCAGTATCATATTAGCAATAGCTGACCGTACAAGAGCTCTACAAAAGGTTTTCATCTGCTGTGATCTACAATCCAAACAAGCTAGGGAGATCGAAGCCACAAATTTACCAGATGGTACCGAAAGGATCATTTCCTTTCATCCTTGGGTCGATTCGCTTGTCCGTTGTATTAGTACATAATTTTAACGATAAAGGAGATACACAAAGGAGATACACAGCTTACTGCCCCATCAATCTAGCTGCAATAAGGTGTTAGAATCCAAAGGCAATATATCACATACGAACTAGTATAATTAATGTAATTTTGAGTGTTTTTTGTTTTATTTTTTCTTTTAACATGTACTATTCCCTCCGTTTTATAATGATGTTCCTGTTTCGCTTGATTACAGCTTTATTAGAAATCTGAAATTGCTGAAGTTTTTAGATGAATTCAACTTCGTTGATGAATTCTTCTACACCTTGCCCAGATGCTCTTGAAAGCCTTTTTACTGCTATTTCTTGACCATTTTCTAGTTTACCCTGTAAACAAACATCATATTATCTCCTGCTACGTTTTGTTGCATTTTAGACTACGTAAGATCATGTTTGAATTGAACTCATTCTTACCTTGGCCAAAACCACCCTTCCCGAGCAAGTTACTCTCACTAAAGCCGTCTGTTGCTATTATCAGATCTTTCAAGTTTTGAGACTTTTAAGTCTTCAATCATTACTTGGGTTTTGTCTTTGAATAGATATGAATCTGTTGCTTTCCCAGCTTTTTTCTCTGGTATTGATTTAGATTTTCTATTTCTATCCGATGTGTGTTTACCCTTTTTCCGAGCTCTCCATTTGAAACAGAAGTATATGATAGTGGCAATCACTGCTGTTCCTAAAGTCATATCTCTTACTAGTACCTTCAAAGCAGAAGAAATTATTTTACATATGCATACTAACATGATCTTTTTTACTAGGTGGGAAGATGAGAATTCAGAAGCCTATAATATCTCCTAAAGTGTCTAGCATTCAAAATTTCAAAGAGGTATGATTAACTTACTTAGCTCTGATTGTTCAAGCCGAATGAATAGGTCCACCCCTCCAGGTGAAAGGTCCTCTATGTCAATCAAGTTCTCGCTCCATCTCATACATCCAGTTCCAGTATCATGTGTATAAGCCAAACAAGAGCAGTTTGCCAGGCAGGTTGTTCTGCACTGATCAGGATTCAGACCCACAAACCATTCAACAATATCAGCATTAACTGGCACTTTCATCATCTTTAACCTCAAAAAACCCATCTTGTTTTCCCCCTTGAACCCCACATTGCAGCTTCTTTCTTCTCACACACCCACTTGTCCAGTTTTCCTCTCCTCCATTCCTCCGCGTTCTTTGGCACAAACCCTTTTAAGCAGCTGCACATAGGTTTAGTCTGCGGGTTGCAGTTTCCAAATTCTCCACACATACATAGGTGTCACATATATTTTTCCGGGGCATGCCACGCAATTCCCCTGTTCTTCTTGCTATCATCCCACCACTTTCAGCTAATATCCCTTGATCAATTATTACATAACGAGGCAACAAAGTCTCATTCGCACCTGTTAAAAACCAGAGAAAGCATCCCTCTTACTTCCTCCTGTGCGAATGACCCCGGTGTTAATGAGTATATTACCATAACCAGTATTATGAATATCTTGTTCCCATGAAAATGTTTCCATTCCAAGGTCCACTTCGCCAATAAGGCGATCCCCATCCCATATGATAATCTGAAAAAAACCTAGAGTTAGTACCAACTGAGTACCTTCCAACTGATGGATCTGAAGGACTTTTCCAGGCCTGCACGACTTTCCTGAATTCAGGATTATTGTTAAGAATGAACTTCATATTTGGTAAGACTGAGTCTGCAGGATACTGAAAACTCTGCCATATTGATCGTCCCATTGCCACGACTCGTGTTGTTCGGAAATCCTTGGATAAAAATGTTCCCGGAATCTTGAAGTTGAGCTGCTACGAAACCAAGCTGTAGGATGAGTGACATTGGATGACCAAACAGTCTGATATTTTTGCATCAGAGACTTGCAGATTTTCGGTCGAGTGATATCTTAAGTACAATAGAAGTATCAGTGAGGGGGATTGTTCCTGTTAGCTACCCATACAAGATACAACTTCCATTTCAAAAGGGTGATTATATAAGATTCCAACATAACGATTGAAGAGTTTTGAGGGCTGAAAAATCCTAGCTTGAAAAATGCTATTTTTAGAAAGTATTGATTCTGAGTCTTTTAGGAATTGTGTTGGTGTAATACTGTCAATTGCAGAGCAAATTTTAGAACTGAAAAGAAGAATGTATGGAATTAATGCAAAAATAGGTATCATTCTTTGCTTAATTGATTATATCATGTAATATTGGCAATTTAGAGATAATTTCAGGGCTCTGAAGGTAAGCTTGTGTGTGTGTGTGTTTTTCTCTCTCTGTCTTTTTTTTTTTTTTTTTTTTTTTGCTCAGAGATTTTCAGAGGTCTTTGGTGTTAGGCCTGTTAGCTCTTTGAGTGGAAACACGTGAACTTCTGAGTGCGTTAAACCGGTTAAGTCCTTGGCTCATTAGCGCCTATTGATTTCTAAGCATATAGGATGACAATTTTGCAATTAAAAAGTAGTATTCAGATAACTTATATTTTAGTGGTACATTATTCATGCATAATGGTACATTATATGTACCCTTAGAGAGTCAGCTTTTTCAAGAAATTGAAAGTTTATAGGATGGTAAAAAAATTACCACTACACTCGTAATAGTCCACAAAACGTACTATTCAGACACAAATTTTACTTTAATGGTACATTATAACATGCATAATGGTGCATTATAATGTACCACTAGAGAGTCAACTTATTCCTAGAAGCAAAAATTGAATCAGCGGAAATTACTTCCTTACCCTCCTATTTACATAACTCGGCCATAAATGTTATGCGCCCAGACTCACTCGCTTTAAACTAGTGGATGTTCTGGACTTCTAGTGTATTGGTGCTGTATTGACGACTATTGACGAGTAGATTAAAATATTTCGAGTTTGACTAGCCGTATTGTTATATGAGATGCGTTTATATAAAAAAATCTTGATAGATATAAACTTTAATAATTTTTACTAATCTGAAATCAAATATATAAAATGATCAAAGTATTTGTATTGTTACAATAGCAAGATAAATTAATATGCAAGATCATTCATGAGTTCATATGGAACGACATTAGTTGGTACTTTGGGACACAACTTTCTCAAATTTTCTCTACACCAAAAGAAAGAAAACAAGCTCACACATGCAATTGGCACATGTTGCCTACTTTTCATAAGGGAACAAGGTGAAACATTTAAGGGTTGAGAATGTAAAATAATCAATGCCAAGGCCAAACAATTCAGTTCAGTTAAGTTAATCTTCAATTTATAAATTAATTCAGTTTCAACTAACTTAAGTGGTAATTAATTTTTTCTCCCATTGAATTTTCAGTTATGAACCATTCGGGGTTTGGTTAGTTTCAGTTCAAACAATACTCTTCAGTTTAGGTCAGGGTTTGGTTAACAGTTGAACCATTTGATACAATTATACAACAATACTGACTTGAATTACGTTGCCCAACATAAGGCCCAGTTAGAAAATATATTGGGCGTGATAAAAATGTAGCAATTGGGCTAGGGCCCAAAAAGTTATACTCAGTATCATCTTCCTTTAGTTTTTCTGTCTCTAATTTCTGCTTACTGAAGAAGCGAAGAAGGCAAGCATGGCTAATGAAGTCATGAGGTTTCAGGTATTCACCTATTCTTCAGCTTCATTTTTTTTTTATTTGTATATTTGTTTATATGATGTATTAAACAAATTAATTCTATGATTTATCTAATTTCTAAATATTTTTTTCAACTGTTATGATTTTTTTTGAAGGGATGTTTTGATGAGATTTTTGATAATTATAAACATGAATTGATGTGATAAACATCCATTATCTTTATTTACCTCGTTTTTGTCATTAAATTATGCTTCTTGTTGTTGTTGTTAATTGATGATTATTATTATTATTATTATTATTTATTATTATTATTATTATTATTATTTATTTTTTTTTATTTATTTATTTTATTTTTTTACGAGTATTTATTTTTTGAAGGATAATAGGGTTATTGTATTGAGCAAGGATGTAACTATTGTCAGGATAAAATGATGAGATACAAGCTTTTTTTAAAAAAAAATTGCTATCAAGTATTTAATAAATTAACAAGTCTAATTGCATATTTGCAATGAAAAAAGACTTCTTATAATCTTGTTAATTGTTGAATTTTTAGTAGTAATTTTAATTGTAATAATGAATCTAGAAGGGAATTTTAATTACAGGCCTTCAAAATGTCGAGTTTCTGGGTTTTGGTCATCACCTTGCAAGTGGCAGTTTTCATGTAACAGTTGCCGAGATGTTTTTGATTCAAGAAGGGAATTTTGTTCAATTCATACAGGGCTACATAGCTTTCTTAACGCTAATTCTTGCTGATATAGGAGAGTTCCTGAAGAAAGATGGCAACTTTAGGTTCAGCTAATCATGCTTAAGCATGGAGGAGGAAGAAAAGATCCATACTGGGGCTACGCATTGTGCCATGGATGCATTTGAGGAAGGCCTTAGGGAGAGCATATCAGATACTGGTGGACTTGTTTTACAGTAGGAGGCGCTGTTGTTCTTGCTTTTGGACGAATAAGACTAATTCAAGTGCTTTGTCATGTTGAAATTTGTAGCTTTTGTTGTTGATCTGCTTTTTTTTTTTTTTTATGCTTGTGGATTTTGGTTTTAATTAATTTATAAATCTTCGTTTTCCGATAAAAAAAAGACTGCAGCTATGAGGCAAGATGTCAATTTTGAGGAATCTGTTCAAGCCTTCAAGGGATGTATCTCGTGACACGTGACATTTTTATATTTTATTAAAAAAACATCTTCAGCAGGTAACTGGTTTTCAAGGTTGATAGAAGAAAACGAAGGTGAAAGTTGGGATTATTGCAAAATAATCGATAGTTGAGATTATTCAAAGTAAATTGGTCAAACTTGGGATTAATAAAGTATATTTTTCCTAATTTAAAAGGATATTTTAAGGGATTTTTTTTTATTTTTTTTTTTTTTTGCAAATTTTTACAATTGAGATTATTCAAAGTAAATTGGTCAATACTTTTGTTACTAAATGATGCATCATGTATCCCATAATAATTTGGTTTATCTTTTCAATCAAATCTTTTTAAATATCTATTAAAATATCTAACGTTTAGTTTAGAAAATACATCTTCTCTCATTGGTTAATGGTTATCATAACAAAAAAATAAAAAAAAAAATATTTTTTTAATTTTTGGCGACCATATAATGTCTTGAAGACCAAGTATTAGTGTATTACACATCCTTGGGAATCAAGGTTGTTTAAATTAACCTTGGAGACCAAGGATCTTGTAAGAAGTAAATATCCCTAATACAACCGCAATAACTATCCTAATCCTAATCCTAATCCTAATTGGAATTGTAAAAGGTATGATTGATCTTTGTTTATCTCCCTATATAAGCAATTAAGCACCAACAATTCGTAGTGTAGTTGTTAAATTAAAGCATACTGAGGATGGAGAA